CGAATTTCAGACAGCAGCCACGCCCACAAAGGCATACGAATCAAAACATCCTGGAACAAAACCTTCTTAGTTTTTTTGTACTTTAATTCCTGAAAGTTTGAAAAAATTAAATGAAGTTTCTCAGTTCTTTAGTGAACCATAACTGTGTTTGTTCTACAGGAACACACATGCGTTTAGGCACATACTTTTCAAATAATCTATGTACAGTAAAATTAAAATGTGCAACGCTTTGCTCAACTTTTTCTTTGTATATAGGCCACGACAATTTAGACAATTCTTTATTAAGTTTTTTAAAGTTGGCCTGCGAAAAATCAAAGCGAATATTTGGCTCGTATGTTTGGACATCGCAATTTTGACCATCGTTTATAATTTCGTAAAATATCTCAATAGCAGGGTGGTAGACATCTTCGGGCAAAACTAGTGGGTCACATTTATTTACAGCCGACTTAGATGCATCATCAACATAAACAAGATCTAATACTTTGCCAAACTTATTGCGAAGTACATTAACTTGATTCAGGCAGAGTTCAGCCATCTCCTCTAAAAATACGTTGTTGCACGCGCTAGACGAGAAAGGTACAATATCATTGTCAATGATGTTTCATGATACATTTGGTAAATTAAAGTCACCCAACACAATCAATGAATCAGAGGGTTTAATCAATGAATTAATTGATTTCAGTAAAGATACATGTTGTGAATACACTGATAAGTCAGATCGGGGAGGAATATAGCATAGAGCTAAGTAAGTAAACCCCCTTCCAACCTGAACACGAATGCATTTGAATTCTGCAGATTCGATGTGTGGGAGACTAACTTCTTCAGATGGTATTGAAGAGTCTACGGCAAAGAGTACGCCACCGCCGACTCTGTCCTCCCGATCTTTTCTGTAGATATGATAATTATTTGAAAAAATCTCTGAATTAAAAGTGTGAGGTTTGAGCCAAGTTTCAGTCAAAGAAATTATATTATAATTGCATTCAAGGCCATTAAGATATAAATTCGTTAATTTAGTATTTATGCCTCTTACGTTTTGACAATAAATACTTAAAGCAGATTTAGTAATCAGTTTTTTGGTTCTGTATTCTGACGGGGAATATTTGCTAAATTATTATTTTTGTTGGGCCTATACTCAAATTCACGAACGAAAGCTCCGGAGGGCCAAAAAGAACTACTAAGCAGCATGTCAAAATTTTCTAAATTTACGTCTATTTTAAATGAAGAAATATTTCTTTCATATTTAAAGTTAAATTTTCTGATACTTAAGTTGACAGTTTTAACTTTGGACGAGATGTAAAACTTTATATCGTCCTCGGAAGTATCCCTCGAAAATCTAGATAAAAATATAGACTTCTTTGGGGGAACCACAACCAGTCTCCTAGTATCAGACTCGATTACCGGCGGACGGGGTTGAGTAACTGAGTTACTAGTTAAGGGTAGAGTAAGCGTTGGAAGATTGGATGGCGGTGCCACAACTTCAACGGGGGGCGGGGAAGATACTGCAGGGTCGTTATTATTAGAAGCAGACTTTGATATACTTTCTTTTGAGGAAGATAACTCCGTTGTCTGTGGACATGGAGAAGAAAGATTAATTAAGTCATTCGGAAGAGTGTTCTGACGTGGAACGGTCTTTTCATTAGGCGGACTATGAAGACGCTTACGTTTTGACACACGAATGTCCTTCATAGATTGTACGGTATCTAAGCATTTAAAAGATTTAAATACATTTTCGTAATGTTTAAATTTTTCGGTCAGTACCGACAACTCTCTCCCTACCTCAGAAAACCCATTTCTGGTTTGCCTAAACAACTTAAAGAGATCAACTTCGGTTGACCTGCACTTTAAGCAAGACCAGCGAAGACCTTTGCCATCATTAATAGCGTCCAGAATTCTTCCTGTCAAACCAGCACATTTTAGATGGCAAATACCATCACAGAGCCAGCACGATAAGTAGCGTTCAGATTCGCTTTTGATTTGGCAGTTATCAAGATCACACTTCATATTGAAAGATTTAATAACACTTATGCTAATAAAAAGACAAGCAAAATAAGTTTAACACAACACAGCTGATGTATTTAGCTTAAAAATATATGTAGCGAACAGTTTGAGTATCACTGTAATGTGACACTTAATAAACGCAGCGCAAACAGCTGTGACAAGAAATACTAAACGAAGTAAACAAAAAGAGCAAAAAGAAATGTGCAAAAATAGAAACGATCTCAGTTAACTACAAAGGAATAACAACAACAATGATAACAACATGACTCGGCAATATTAGATGTAAGCTAGTGAAATTTGATTAAATTTAATAAAAACCACAAAAATCACAAAACTTTCACTTAGCTTCGGTTATTATCACAGTAAGATGCTCGTAGGCACTTTTTATAGCAACTTTTACTCAAAATTAGCACAATAACCTTTGCAAAATACAAAGACCAATCAAGGCACAAATAAGTAGAACTTCACAGCTTGACGTTTGCGCTAAGATTTCCTCTATATCTTTCCAACTATTACCCTGAACTTAATATATAAGGTACCGTTTGAAAGGTATTGGCCTATAGAATAACACTAAGGGCCGTTTTCTCATCTAACCTTTAGTTTACCGGCCACTTTATCGTCCCGATATACGAATTTTCGTTTTCTCATCAGCGCATTAATTTCTCGAATCGATAAACTGTTGCTCACCCGATGCAACCTTTAAAATTTGTACCCAACTTTAAATTTTGGTTTGGTTTTGGTTCATGAGTCAGATATATTAGATATTTCAACCAAGGTTTTGGTTTTTGCTAACAGTTGCTCTTGCTCTATATTTGCTTATGTTGCATTGCCAACCATTGAAATTTTATGACGAATGTAGTGAAGTTTCACTCCCGGAAATGTAGTGAAGTTTCACTATACGGAATAACAAATTTATTTTTACCGGCAAGGTAAGAAAACGAAAACACTTTAAAGTGAAGAACAATTTATCTGCTCTGTTAGTAAAGGCAACTTTACTGCTTACATTAGAAAACGGCCCTAAATATGTTGGGTGTACCCACATGCCCCTTAAACCGGCGAAAACAAAAAAACTTTTTTTGTTTCGCAACACTTTAGCCTAATTTTTAAGAATCCGGTTAATCGTTTAGGAAGCTTGAATAAATTTTCTAGACACACTCCGCAAGACCTTTCCAACGATATCTCAAACATGTCGATTGGACGTCTGGATAAAAACTTCCAAATCTCGTGTATATATAAGCGAGTCATTTCAGCATGCTACTGTGGCACGGCAGTGCGCTGCGATAAGCGAGTCATTTTAGCATGCTACTTTGGCTGCTTTCGTCACTCGCGCGCACTGCTGTGCGCTGTGATATAGATAATTTAATTTGTTCCCAAAACTCGCATAAATTTAAATTTTTTTAAGTTCTTGTGCTCCGGTAGAAAGGGTGTGAGGTAGAAAAAGACAAAACCATTTCTATAAGAAATCAAAACTGCCAGTCTTGTAATGCAATCCAGGTTTGTATGAAGTAGGGAAAGAAGAAAGTATTTGTGTAAATAACTAGAAGTTTTTAACCAACGTAAATATAAAACAAATCGAAATATACTCAGCGCTGCATTTCCAAATTGTACCAAAAAGGTCTATGTGGTGTCAATGTACTTTCTGGTTTTAAATTGTACCAAAAAAGCACAATTGTGGCAACTTTATCATCGCTGCCCTATTCTGCATCTCTTTCGTATTCTGATTTTGCTACGAATCGTAGAAATAGTATGCTGCAATCCGTATAGTATTTTCGAACTTTCGAAATTAGTAACAATGACATGCCTAAAAACGACGAGTACGCTTTTGTGGGTAATTTTGTATGAAAACAATCCTGTGTCGGAGGCGAGATAAAAGATGTAGATCGATGTGTGTTTGCCGGAAATATTAGTGGTGTTCATTTAAACAGATAAATTTGCCTTTCGAATATACGTATATTTGTATCAAATAAAACACCTCTTTGAGGTAAGATTTTCGAGTGACGAAAGCTGAACTAGAAACACAAAATTTATGATATCAATTTCGTGACGAAAATTATACGAATTTTTTAACTGCCTTTGAAACGTACGGAAAATCTTTTTTTATTTATTCGGAACGTTGCGAAATACCGTCTACTGCTAGAAACACTAAAAAAACAGAACTTTTGCAACGATTCGTATGAATAAATAAAAAGGTTTTCCCTACGTTTCAAAGGCAGTTAAAAAATGCGTTTAATTTTCGTCACGAAATTGATATCATAAATTTTGTGTTTCTAGTTCAGCCTTCGTCACTCGAAAATTTTACCTCAAGGAGGTGTTTTATTTGATTTTGTGTTTCTAGCAGTAGACGGAATCTCGCAACGTTCCAAATAAATAAAAAAAGAGTTTCCGTTCGTTTCAAAGGCAGTTAAGAAATGCGTATAATTTTCGTCACGAAATTGATATCATAAATTTTTTGTTTCTAGTTCAGCTTTCGTCACTCGAAAATCTTACCTCAAACAGGTGTTTTATTTGATATCAATTATTTTGGGGTAGCACATTTAAAATCGATGAAAATACAAACAATAATCTAAACGTTATATTTTTCTCAAATAAATTGCTAAAGATATTAATTAAATCTAAATTATGTATTCAAATCGATGTGTCCGTTGAAACATATAATTTTTCGAATACGGAATAAATCGAAAAAGAATGATCATATCCTTTGTATTCGAAAAAAAAATAATGCGTGATTGCGTTCTTAAAAAAGGTGTGAGTACCAGGTACCTACTCACGAAATTGGATGTGTAAACATACGTTTTTGGTTCGGTAAACCATTAGGCGATTGAGTTACATACATAGGTTTGGTTAGAAATCAAACAATAATTTCATTTCATCTTATTAATTTTCTGATATACATAT